CGAAATCTAAAGTCATCCACCAGTGTAATTTGATCACACACACTTCCCCTGATCTGTTTGGAGCTTCAGGATTTCTAAAGCCACTCACAGTGAAATTTTTGACCTTGCTTCAGTGCTGTCAATAAGGTGATCAGTAATGTGTATCGGATATTGGCTGCTGTATGTGTGTGAATGTGTATGAAGAATCATGTAAACGAACTTTTGAAAGAATCCCTTCAACGCTCTCCAAATACCGAGCTATTGTATCGCTCAGTTTTGGGACTGGCAAATTGGGCAAGAGTGAATCGTTGGTGCACAGTGTTGGTGAAGTGTAACTGAGAAGTTTGTGGCATATCTGAAAAAATTTTTATGTTAGCAGTCGCGTATAATGTTAGTTGATTACGCTTTGAAGTGTTTCTCATGTCCGCTCTCCACATACACCACAATGCTGTGTTTACAATGATAGATAGTGATTCGTGAATTCCATACATTATTATGGTTTTAAACCAGTATGCTGATATCATTCCCTTATCAGTTGCTTCCTCAAAAAAATTGAGTTGTTTACCAACTGATCAACAAATAACAGATCGAATACAGCATACAGATTACCTCGACTTCTGTGATTGACTGAACGAAACAAAACTGCAAAGCGAATTAATGACTTACCGCCCAGAGTTTTGTTTTAAATGATGGATTGCGTTTATCTTCGAAAAGAAATCCTTTATAACTGAAGTAGGTTCGTTTCAGAATGAAACGAATCACATAAACGAGTGTGTAAGCTGCAATGAGCGATATCTGAAACAATAGAGCAGTTCACCAAAACAGTCTCATCGACGAGATGAACTCAATCAGTTGGATCATATTGTTCAAAATCATTCGATAAACTCACGAAAATCTTTTGCATGCCATCCAAAACCATTGCATTGCTNCGATTGTAAACAGCATTCTGAAAAATATGGCTCATTTCAAAAAACCGATGGTACAGAAACTCAACTTCTGTGCAACTAATGATACTAAATGAGAACACTGAACCGTAAAATTCATTTGACCGTGAATCAAATCCTGTCAAGTCATTACCAACGTCAGTATCGCTTAACTTCTCACGAGCATTTTCTCAGAATGATCCAGTACTATGCGGAAATCATATGAGAATGATAAGGGTGTCAAAGAAAAGCACTAGAAATATCTACAATATATATTCACTCCACTAACACATGGATACTAACTTTGAGTTGATAAAGCGCTCGTTCAAAGTTGGTAGGATATTTGCCTTCAAGCGAGAATGGCGGAAGTTTACGCGGTGACTCTTTCAATTTAGTCATATTCATCCTGGAATTTCACGATTGTTTTTCACATCGAACGATAGATAACAGCAAATCAATAGGAATCATTGCAAAAACGCATGAAAACACATTTATTTGCTGGTTGCGTTTAGTGCTATTGAATAAAGTGCATCGCAGTAAATGTGTTATCTATGAACAACAAGGCAATAATTCTTAGACGAGGATAACGCCTGGCAATAAAGGGGAATCCACTTTTTTTTACAAAACTGATCTTCGAAGATCGTAAAATGGGCATTCACGGGTAATCAGTAACCATTGAAATGAGAGGAACACAGTTATTGTACTGCGCTTATCAGCCGGCATGGCGAGATAATAATTACCATTCGGAGTTAGCGAATGATATTAGATTATTGATACTTCCTGTTTTCGCTGATAACGGCAATGACTTTGTTGGTGGTTTTATAGTGTTGACCTGATTGGTGGTGAACCGATGATGACTTGGAATGAAGTTGTCTTCAGTTCGATAACAATTTAAGGAATGATTTATTTCGCTCAACTGAACACTTTTAATGTGTCATCACAAAAAATCAATGAATGTGGCAAGGTCACGACACTTGATGAATTTGGTTTATGATTTATGATGGACAAACCAAAGGGAAGAAACATTCTCCACAGACAGTACAAAGTGCAACATAAAGCTAATCACGCGCAGATACTGGACGTCTAAAATGGGCGAATAAAATGCCAGTAGACAATTTCATCACCCTGAAGTTTTCGTTCTGAATCAGTGCAATTAGCCGATTGATTGTAGAGTGCGTACAGTGCAACAGAATCGT